CAAAGGAGTGTGGCGATTCCTAAAAGCTCTAAAAATTGACCTTCCATATGACCCTGCAATCCCCCTACTGGGAATATACCCTGAAGAACACAAATCACTCTATAAAAAAGATACCTGCACACGTATGTTTATCGCAGCATTGTTCACAATAGCAAGAACCTGGAAACAACCATGCTGCCCATCAAAAGAGGACTGGATTAAAAAAATGTGGTATATATACACGATGGAATACTACGCAGCCATAAAAAAGAACAAAATCATGAATTTCGCTGCAACCTGGATGGAACTAGAGTTTATAATACTGAGTGACCTCTCACAAAAACAAAAATCCGAATATCACATGTTCTCATTCATATAATGGACCTTGAACATCCAATGCAATACTATGAGAAAATGACGGATGGTACTGGGAAACTATGGGGGGGAGGGGGATGGGATTAACAGTAGCAAATATCTGTCGGGGGATGGGAAAACACTTCTTATCTACAGGGTGCCTGAATGAAACGTCATTGTACACCTACCCTTAACTGTACCCCACAAAACCATAATAAAAAATACTGATTAATGAAAAAAAAAAAGAATCAAAAAAAAAATGTATTGAAATATCTGACTATAATAGTGAGCTCATCCGTTTTGCACTTCACTTTTATATGTGCCTCATGTATTTTGATGCTATGCTGTTAAGTACATACAAATTAAGGATTGTTAGGTATTTGTTGGGAATTGACCCCTTTATCATTATGCAATGCCCCTCCTTATCCCTGATAATTTTACTTGCTCTGAAGTCTCCTTTTCAGAATATATCTGAAAAGGCTTTATCTAAAAACACTTTCTTCTAATTAGTGCTATCATGGTATATATTTTGCCGTATTTTAATATATCTGTCTTTATATTTAAAGTGGGTTTCTTGTAGACAACCTATAGTTGGTCTTGTTTTTTTAAAACCCACTTTCTTTGTATCTGTCTTTTAATTCATAAATTTAGGCTACTATTCTCATTTAAGGTGATTATTGATGTAGTTGGATTAATAACTACTATATTTATAACTGCTGTCTATCATTGCCCTTGTTTTTTGCTTCTTTTTTGTTTTCCATTCTTTTTCTGCCTTTTCTGATTTTGAGATTCTGTTATTTTAAGAATAAGTTAAATAGCCACTTGACAGAAAGTTCTAGAGGGGACTCAAAGTATGAGAATCTGAGCTACATAACCTTTAAGACCCTTTCAATTCCCAGATTTTAAGATTCTTAATTAGTTAAATTATTCAAAAGTTATTTAAAGACACAGTCAAGGTGATCACATAAGACTCTACTTCTATTTATTTATTTATTTATTTATTTATTTTTGAGTTGGAGTCTCACTCCGTCGCCCAGACTGGAGTGCAGTGGCCGCTCCCGGCCACCGCAGCCTCGCCTGCTGGGTTCTGGCGCTCCTTCCGCCTCAGCCTTCCAAGTAGCCAGAATTACAGGCATGCGCTACCACGCCAGGCTGATTTTTTTTTTATTTATTGTAGAGATGAGGTATCGCTGCTCAGGTGGGTCTCGAACCCGCGGGCTCAGGACATAAGACTCTACTTCTAAAGTACCACAAAGATATTTGCAATATTGAGAAAACTGAGAATCAGAGTTTATGTCACTTGCTTAAAGGTACATAATTAATGAGTAATAGAGACCAGGTTAGCATTCAGGTCTTCTGGCTTCTAATGTGGTGTTCTTTTACCTCGTTATGCTGTTTGCTGAATAGCAGATGGCTTAGTAAATGAGAAATGAGGACAGACTTTTATGATCAACATTATGTTTGATTTTTGTCTCAAGCAATGGAAAAACAGGAAAGGGTAAAAGTATAGGTACAGCCAAGTCACAGGTATGTCAAACAAAAATAAATGGGCACCAGTTATTACTATGCCTTACAGGTCTCTTTTCTGTTTTGTGATTTCCCCCCCAAGGAACTGCAACATTATAAATAAAATAGAAATACACACAGCAGATTCAGATACTTATTTTTCATAACTGTCTTTTTCTATTCACAATTATTATTTATTTTTTCTTAGGTAATGTACCTTTTGATACACAGAGTTAAAGAACAGACTATACTTTAGCAAAAGCTTGCCCATGAATATTATATTTCAGCCATAGGCAAGTTTCTATAGCTGTTTTAAGAACAAAGCTTCCACTGTAATATACAAACTACTGTAAACATATCCTTGATATTCCTGTCAACATGCCAATAAAAAAGTAATGAAACAATAATAAAGCTTTTAGTGAACTTTTATCCATAATGCATATCATACAGAAAAATCTCTTGCATATAATTATATACAGATACATAAATGTATGCATGTCTTAAAAGAATTTGTAACATTTATATTCCAAATTTTTTCCAGAAATCCTTTGTAATTAACTTTGATCCCAGTAATCATCATGTAGAAAAGTAGATCCTTTTCTTTTACTTCAGAAGTAATTAAGAAGTAATTCTTAATTACTTCTGTTCTTATATGGGAGTGCCAGCTGTCTGCTTCTTAAGGGAGGATTATATGCCACGGAGGGAGAGAATTAGCTACAGGAATCCTCAATGAGCTGCAAATCCTCCACTGTCTATTTTGGGGGCCTGAGGCAAGGGTAGAAGAAAACTGGAAACAAACTGGCCTTTGACTAGGTTTATCTTTCTCAGCTTCCAGACTGTAAATTTCATGAAGTCTTTAGGGTCATTCAACTGAATACTAGTCTATATTAGTCTGTTCTAACACTCGTACATTCTCCTTTGGAAGAAATGGCCCTACCTTGCCTAGCCATTCTGTACTGAAAAGGAGGCTGAATTGGGTTATATCCGATTCTCATCTGATGACATGCACACAAAGGGATATGTTAGGATGGTTGAGAAAAATTTGCTACTTTTATATCTTACAAGTCTAGTTCTTATTATTTTGTAAAGCTTTTATTTGAAAAGGATAAACCTGCTCTCAGACCCATGGTTTACAATGCAAAGACATAAATATTCTCCACATTCTAGTGAATGGTCAAGAAATTACTTGTAATTTAGTTCACAGTTGTGGTCTGATTTTTAAACACTTAAAATATAATATGAATGCATAAATGAGATAGACTTATAGGCACACATAGTTAAGTACTTGTAAATTATTAATGACATTTTTTATTGTAAATAATTTGAGAAAACTTGTTTGGAAAGTTATTTCATTGATTTGTACTGGAAATGGGTTTATATTATTCTTTATATATATCTTCTCCTCTTTCTGGCAAGGAAGCCTTCTTGGGTACATAAGTCATGCTGGACAAAGAATGCTTTCTAAATGTAGACAGCCTTCTCCTAAAGTTTCCCCCTGAAAAGAAATACAGGAGAGGGTCAAAGCAACAATTTGATGCAGCCAAAGACAAGGTTATGACCACTGACTTCTGCATTCTAAGGACGGAATCACAGGGTTTAGTTTCATTGTGTAAAAAATGAAGATGGATGGTACGTTGAATATGATATGGCATGAAGCTGATTAAAAAGGCTGCTGTCACGACTATGATCATTCCTATAGCTTTTTTACGACTTGACAGATTTTTTTTCATTGAATTTTTTAGTAAGGCCAAAATGATCATTGTGTAACAGACAATTATAATAAGAAAAGGAATGATGAAGCCAATAAGCAATGAAACATAATGCAAAATCAAAATATGATTTTTAGCTTGATTGTCTTGTGGAGGCTCAAAGCATTTGGTATTGTTTTTCTCATCTTTGTAAGTCTTGGTCATTAAAAATGGAGAACTGATCAAAATTACAAAAATCCAAATGCCGACACATACAAACCTGGCTTTTTTCTGTGTAACCAAATTAATGTTCTGAACTGGGAAAACAATTGCAACACACCGGAAAAAGCTCATGGCTGTCATAAAGAAGATGCTACAATAGAGGTTAACATACAGGGCATAGGTGCTGAGGCGGCACAAAAAGTCACCAAAGAGCCAAATGCCTTTGTGAACATAATAGACCACACGAAGAGGCAGTGTGCACACACACAGTAGATCTGCTATTGCTAAATTAATCATGTATATTTGGAAAGCTGACTTCTCATGATATGTTTTTATGAGAACATAGAGCACAAAGCCATTTCCAAATAAACCTACAACAGAGATCATAGAGTACAAGGTAGAATACACTTGATTGCGGAAGTCATCAATAGTGTCATGGCATGTGTTATTGCTGGCAGAAGATACTGTCAGATTTCCGGTTCCATCCATGTTCTCTAGAAATATCTGCTTGGTGCCTACAATATATAAAAATTGTTTTGTCAATTTTAACCAGATCATAAGTTACAGGAAGTACTAACATTTTATTCCATAGTGTCACTATGTATACTTTTTGACCACAGTAGGAAGAAAGGGTGGAGAAGCAACGAATTGAGATTCAACTGTACCCTGCCCTCAGAAGAAGGTTTTGGGTCCTACAGGCATCCAGAAAACTTTTTTTTTGAGTTGGAGTCCCACTCTGTTGCCTAGGCTGGCATGCAGTGGCATGCTCAAGGCTACCTCAGCCTCCACCTGCTGGGCTCAGGTGATCCTTCCTCCTCAGCCTTCCAAGTAGTTGGAACCACAGGCATGTAGCACCATGCCCAGCTAATTTTTTGATTTATTGTAGAGGTGAGGTCTCGCCAAGTTATTTCGGTGGTCTTGAACCCCTGAGCTCAGGCAATCCTCTTGCTTCTGCCTCCCAAAGTGCTGGGATTACAGGCATGAGCCAATACTCCCACCTCCAGAAAACTTATTTTTTTCTCCATTACCACCCATGTTTTTCTGATAAACTTCCTCTTAATCTTCAAGATCTAGATAAAACAATTCTCTTGTATTTGAAGTCATACTACTCTAAGTATGATTCTGTAAATTTTTCTTTTAAATGAGTTTGATTTTCTATTAGTTGCTTCACATCTATAAATATTGTTAGCCTACCTAACGCCACTTTAGAGACTCCTGCCACTTTGCTAGCTTCCCCAGGATGGAAAATTATCAACCAGGCTAGACTAAAACACATTCAGTCTAGCATCTAGCCTCACAGCAAGACTTTTCTCAACTTACTTAACCACAAGATGTAAATACCCCCTAGCAATGCCAACAACAAAAAAATTTCCCCCAAGCCCTATAACTACCTTAGTCCATAAGTGGTAGTGGGTTTCAGATTTCTGGAGTCCCCTCTGCAGGTTCTCTGCCTTGATATAAACCTGTGTTGCTGTTGAGCCGCCCATCTCTCATCTCTCTTTTTCTATCTGCTTATCTTCTTGACCTAACATTTGGTGCCGAAACCCTGGAATGGGATTCAAGGTCCCACCGCGGGGCAATTCCTAAGTTCTCTACGTGCCTAGCCCTGTTCTCCTCCATCCTTTCTCTTCTCTCACCCTTTCTGTCTTTCCGCTCTCTCCAACTTGGGTGTCTCCAGCAGGACCATCTCCATTGTGGAACACTTCCTCCAACACCGGTCACTAATCAGTGGGTGTTTTCCTACCCAAACTCCTGATTCCTCTCTTTCACTCATTTCTGTATGCTCCAGAAACCCTTCTGAAAACCCCAGCGCTGGGTGAGAAGTCTCCTCTGGTCACCCTACTCGTGGTGATTGTGTTTGTCACCTTAGGGGAATGTCCCGCCCTTCCACTGTTTCTTATGCCCTTGGGGATCAGGCTGCTCATTCCTCCAAATTTCTCCAATATGTGTCAAGCCTCCTCTAAATCTATCTGAGACACCCTTCTCAGATGTCTCCTTCACAACCTCAAAATTTAGATCTTACTCTAAACCAAAACGTCTCTCGAATGTCTCAAAAATTTAGACCTTACTCTAAGGCCAAAGCATCTCATTTTCTTCTGAAATGCGACTTGGCTCCAATACCAATTGAACAATGGTCCCAAAATAGAATTTGAACTTCCAAAATCTCTGTATTTTTAACAATTTGACTTCCAAATTCTCTGTAACCTCAACAATTCACTCCAATGCAATGGAAACTTGTCTGAGGTCCCCTATGCTCAAACTTTCCTCTATCTCTGTCCAACCCCTCCTTTTATCAAATCTATAATCCTTTTCAAATCCTCCTTATTCACAGCCTCCTCTTTCCTTTTCCCTCTCCCCCCTCAATTGTTTTTATTTTTATTTTTTTACATCAATATTTTTTATTTTGATATTGTGGGGTACAGTTAAGGGTTAGGTATACAAATATGCTTCGTTCAGGCACCCTTGTTGATAAGGGGTGTCTCCCCGTCCCCAGACAGATATTGACTACCGTTAATCCCACCTCCCTTCCCCTCCCCTCTCACTTGTTTTTATACCCAATGTCCTCCGTCCCCAAAGTCCTGTTCCTATCCTTTCTCTCAGAGAGGTGGCTGGGACAGAGGGCATACTGTGTATTCATGTTCCTTTCTCCCTGAGTAATGTCTCTCAAATTAAAAAAATAGCTAAGCGCCTTTACCTGTAACTCTGCTATTTACCATAAAAATTCCTTTATATTACCCAATCCTATAATGTAACCTAGCACAACCTGTATGTTATTCTTTCCTCCTCAATGTCCCCAGAAGAGAGGGAGCACATATGGGCAGCAGCTCAACCTCATGCCAGCACTCTTCAGCATCAGGACCCAATCCATAATCCCATAGGCATCACGACAGTGCCCTACACAGAGGCCTCCTGGGATTATCAAATTAACTCCCCATATAGACAGAAAAAGGGCTACATAATAACTTGCCTATTAGCTGAAAAAACAAACAAAAACAGAAAACAAACAAACAAGCAAAAAAGCAAGGTGGCTCTAAAGCTAGTTAATTATGAAAAACATCAAAGAAATTACTCAAAATCTTGACAAAAACCCTCCCCTTTTCTCCTCTCACCTCTCAGAGGCCATGCTTGAATATACTACTTTTACTCCAAGTTCTAATAAAGGTAAAATTTACTTACATCTTTATTTTATCTCTCAATTGGCCATGAACATACATAAAAAACTTCAAAGATTAGAGGATGGTCCCCAAACTTAATGTCAGGATCTTATCAAAACTGCCTCTAAGGTTTTAATAATAGAAGTGAGGAACCAAATGCTCAAAAACCAAATGGAAATCAGACTAGACACCAACTACTGGCAGCAACCCTTTGACAGGGTTCTCTGATGGCTCCAAAAAAACCTTCCAATCCCCAACAAACGTCCATCCATTGCCAGGACAATGCTACAAGTATGGCCAGCCAGGACACTGGTCAAGGGCATGCCCAAATTCTAGGCTGCTCTCAACCCATGTTCTATTTGTGAAAAAAAGGGCACTGGAAGTCAGATTGTGACCAGCAAGCCTCTCCCTCCTGTTCGGTCACTTTGAACATTCCCAGGTTTCCTCATCCACAGTGAGACTGGCTAAATTCTTTGACTTGGCTACTGAAGACTGATGGGGCCCAGGGTCTTCCGCCCTCACCACTCTCACCATTGGTGCCATTGCAGAACCTAGGGTAACACTGTCAGTATCTGGTAAGCCTGTCTCTTTTTTTATTGAGCATGGTGGCTTTGTACTTAGTCTTGCCAAAATACGCAGGACCCCTCCTTAACTCCTCTATCTCTATTGTCAAAGTAGATAAAATATCTTTCACTCCCCAAATAACCAAGCCATTATTCTGCTTTCTATTCAACACACCTTTTACTCACTCCTTTTTAGCTATTCCACAGTGTCCCATACCTATACTAGGAAGGAATATCCTCACAAAGTTTCAGGTTTCCATACAGTTCACCCCTCACAATCCCCCTTACAATTCTACCCCTTTTATTTTACTTTGCCACCCAGATGCTTCTCTCCCCATTCCTCTATATTCTCCTTTCCCTCCCTCCTTCCCCTTATAAATCCTATAATCTAAAACATGTGGAAAGCACCCAATGTTGTGTGCCACCATAAATACCCCAAACATGGTCAATCTACAAAACCTCTCATTCTACCTTAACCAACCTCAATACCCTTTAAGTCCAACTAGCTTAATAGGGACTCAAAACCATTATCTCTAAATTGCTCCAGGCAAATACCCTAAAGCCAACCAACTCTCCTCACACCATTCCCATAGTATCTGTCAAAAAAACCAGATAATTTAAGCCCACTTATACAAGACTTGCATATTGTTAATCAGGCTGTCATTCTTATCCACTCCATTGTTCCAAACCCCTACACTCTGCTCTCTCATATCCTTCCTCACACCACCCACTTCTTCGTCCTAGACTTAAAATATCCCTTCTTTACACTTTCCCTTAACACAGCCTGTCAAAATTTCTTTGCCTTCACTTAGGTAGACCCTGACTCACAAAATTCAATCCAATTAACCTAGATGGTCCTGCCACAAGGTTTCAAGGACAATCCTCACCTCTTTAAACAAACCCTTTCTCAAGATCTATATAATTTAAATTTAACCCCCAATATCCTTCTACAATATGTTAAAAATTTTCTCCTGTACAGTCCCTCATATAATCTTTACATTCAATATACCTCTCAATTACTCAACTTTCTCGGAAAACATAAATATCAAGTCTCTCCTACTAAAGCCCAAATTTCTACAAAAAAATAACCTATCTCAGACTCACTATAACTCATACAACCCAAGCCACTCCCCTCCCACAAAATACCTCATTCAAGCCATGCCCACACCCACCACTAAAAGAAATCTCCTTTCTTTCTTAGACTTCAAAAAATAATTTCAATTATGGATACCTAATTTTAACCTGTTAACCAAGCCTCTTTATTTAACTTCACAAGACCTTATCCACAAACCTTTAAACCCCTCATACCCAATTAATTCTCATTTTTTACAAACTAAAAGAGGCCCTCCAAAAGGCCTGAGCCCTAAAACTACTAAACCCTACCAAATCTTTTACCTTATATGTTCACACAGAGCACAACATTGCCCTTGAACTTTTATGTCAGTCCTATGGCAATACTCCACGAGTCATAGCGTATCTGTCAAAACAACTCAACTCTGTCATCCAAGGCTGGCTGTTGTGCCTCCGAATTCTAGGTGCTGCCACTGTATTCACAATTAAAACACTAAAACTAACACTCTACCCGCATAACTGTCTCATTTTCCACACCAAACAATAGCCAGTTACGGGCCTTATACACTAAATACACAATTCAAAATTAAAAAGGTCTCCCAATTCTATACTTCACAGCCTCTATCCACACAAAAGCCTCCTAAATATACTTCATTTCCCACACTACCTACCTCTCTTCAGCTAAAAAAAATTTCTTAACTTCCAAAACCTCCTAAATCACACACC